CACAGCCCGGAAGACCCACACCAGCCATCGTATGCCGGCCATGAAAGCCTTCGACAATACTAAGAATCTGTTACTTTCTCTCTTTTGTGCGTGGTTATTTTGGGGTGCTGGAGAAGGGAGGAAGAGAGAGAATAGGAAAGGTCACTCACAACAAACCTCACTTCCTAGGGCACAAACACGTCAGCTTCTCGGTAAACACAAGAATCATAGAAGGGAGCGAATGCCATAAACCAGTTATTAAATTACCACTGCTCATCCCCTAAAAGTTATGAGAAACCTTTTAAGCTGTTGTGTTGAAATGATTTGCGGGAAGAGAGGTCTCTGCTGTCGTGAGGGGCGAGGAGACAAATACAAGGGTGTCTTAAAACTGTTCCTTCCACATATGGTTCCAATCCGTGCAGGGGAAGGAAGCAAAGGGCGTTACTAAGTAAATAGCTGGGTTTCTTTCCATTGTTTTCCTGTTTCACCTATTAGATCATGATGCCAGGAAGAAGAATATGTGGCACATATCCATGATTTCAGCAACACTTACATTCGTATCTAACAAGCTTTTCAGAGAGTCAAGAACTGCCCAGAGAGCATAGATGTTACCTTTTTACTTCTCAGAAGGGAATCCATAACTGTCCTCTGCAATGTGAAAGGCAGACACTCAAGCAGAGAATCAGTAGGGGTGTTTTTGCCTTACAATGTTCAGATTCCTAAAATCACCACTGATCTATATACTGAGCTTGTCCTTCTTAAGGAAAATACAGGCATTTTGGGGAGCGAGGAAGAAATTCATATTCTACATTATCAAACCTCAGCTACTTTTAAATTGTGTTCAGTTTACTGGGTGTGCTGTTGATCTGTACACACACACACACACACACACACACACACACACACTTAATAGCTGAGCATGGGCAAGATGAAAAATGCTAACAACCAGAAACAGGCAGTATTAGAAACGACGACACCCACTATTATAAAACCTGCTTATTCTATTTGGTCATAAATTGGTGAATTGGAAAGCCCAGACTGATAAGGACATTTTTATTTTATCCCACTTTTGTTCAGAAAGTAAGTTTTTTCAAACCGTTCCAAACTCTTCAAGGTTAATTTTAGATACTTTTAGCCCTATGGCAATCTACAACTCAAATACAACATTACACACTAGCATAGATGTGCTAGGTCAATGTTTCTCAATCTTGGCAACTTTAAGATGTGTGGACTTCAACTCCCAGAATTCCCCAGCCAGCAACGGGAGTTGAAGTCCACACATCTT